CGACCCTGTCGATCAAAAGCAGATTCGGGTCTCAAAACACTTGTGAAACGCCCCGATGCTTTGATTCGCCTTAGTCACGTGACATGGGTGTTTCGAATCACACTTCAGAGCAGTGTTTCGAAACATCTGCGCTTCGAGATCTCGACACCATGTCAAAACATCAGTTTCGCGTCAGCCATCCCTAGCTTAAAATTGTCATATGATGCGATTTCAATTTTTCCTTTCTCTTTGGAGTGTTACAAGCTCTTGGTGCATAAAGAAGATCTGTTTGCATAACGCCGACCAAATGTTCACGCAAAGAAAGAAGGCGTAACTTTATTGTTGCTGCTACCGCCGCCGCCATGTTGTGAAGGCGCTGTGTGTTTCGTTGCGAAAGCGAGACTACTTTGTTTGGTCTTCCAAAAGAGGACGATATCCGCTTCGTCATGCCTGGAGCTGATCCGTGCTGGTTGCTGAGGAAATACATCAACTTCGCACTGTGGATCGCCGGATCGGCTTTCACCGTGGACGAAGCGGAGTCCAGCCTGGGGTCATCATATATGGTTGCTGCAAGCCCGCCGGCCGCGCCGCTCTCAAGCCCGCCCGCCGCCGCTCTCTCGAGCCGCCAGCCTCCGCTCACTCAAGCCCGCCGTGTGTTTCATTGTGAAAGCGAAACTACTTTGTTTGGTCTTCCAAAGGAGGACACGACTAGAAATCAGTGGTTAAGTTGTATTTACAACACTGTTCCAGAACAGTTCAACCCAAATATTCATGTCTCATCGCTCCAGCCGGGACACGGCATCACAATATGGTAAGGGGCGTAATACTTCCGTCACACGCTTGAGGTATTCGGCCAATCACAATGCACTGGATAGCTGGCCAATCAGAGCACGCCTCGCTTTTCAGACCGATGAGCTTTGTAAAAATCGACGCGTTTCAGAAAGGCGGGGCATAGAGGAGAAACAATAATGTACAGTATGTGGAAAATAATGTGTTTTTTGAACCTTAAACTGCATAAACATTTCATTACACCAAATACACAAAATAATGTTCTTTTTAGCAACATCATATGACCCTTTAAGGAGAGCCGGGTCTTGGTGGTGTCGAGCGAGGCGAGTTCAGGGCCTTGCGAACTTTGCTCGAAATATTGGCCGCTCTGCTGGAGTGGATTTAGGAGTGAGGTTGGCTGATTGCTGGGAGACGAATAACTTAGATCGTACAGATCCGCTTTGTTTACCCATCGTGAGGACGGTGCATCAGAATTAATCAGCGTTTGCCTCTAAATATGGTCCACTTTCCGATTGGAGGAATCGTAGGCACAGCTGAAAGATAAGAGGATGCCAGGGAAAAAGTTGGAAGTGACGCTGGCGGAGGCGAGGTTAATCCTCCGCCAGTATGTGAAGTGTGATGTGGCTCGTGACTTGACTCCTGACGTTGTCCGTGATTCCGTTGGCCTGGGCGGAGCTGGCGCGTGTACTTCTTGTTATAGCTGTGTTGGCCGTCGCCATTAAAGGCTTGACTAAATTTTCTCTCGTGTCAGCGATTCAATGTACCTCACCTACTCACTGGCGTGGTGGCAGCGTTATCGTATTCACTCCTCAAACGTTCCGGTGAGCTCACGTGAGATCCATTCATGCTATAATCGCGCGAAAGCGAGCCGCGTTGTGGATTATCTCCACTGATGATACTCGAAACATTAGCCATGGCGAATACACACAGAGAACCGAAGCAGTGGTGCCTAACGAAAGTTGAGACCGTGAATTCATTCGAGAACTGGCGTCAGAACCTTGTTTACACGTTGTCATTGGAGACTGAGTTCGCTCCTTTTCTAGTTGACGGCGCGCGCTGGGAAAAGAAGACGAGGGCTTCACCATTCAGAGGTTTTACCAATGACGACGACGATGTTCCTGCGGCGCAACAGCGCACACGCCAACAAAAGGTCAGCACGCTCAAGCTTATGCTGGGGCAGATCGCTAACTACTGCCCTGTTTTTTCCCGAAATACTATTGTTAAAACCTCCATATGCATTGATCACATATGGCAGACTATCAGACTACATTATGGATTCCAATCAACTGGTGCACATTTCATTGACTTTGCTGCTGTTAAACTTGAGTCTAATGAAGGGCCAGAGGATTTGTACCAGAGATTAATGGCTTTTGTTGAGGACAATTTACTACGCAGAGACTCTGGCATTACTCACAGAGGTGAAGCCATTCTAGAGGATTAGGAGTTCTCCCCCACGATCGAAAACTTCATTGTTCTAACTTGGCTTCGTCTTATACACAGCGATTTGCCAAAGCTTGTAAAGTACAGGTATGGCACAGAGTTATGGTCACGCACTCTGGCATCCATCAAACCAGAGATATCTCAGGCCCTGTGTTCATTACTAGATGAGCTACAGTCGTCAGAGGATGCCAGAGCTATGCGCACAGCCGTTTCTAACCCTCCAAGACAGAAGCTTGCTTCACTGGGTCGATCCAGGAAGTCCTGCCCACTCTGTAAGGAGGCTCGCAGACCGGACAATCACTTCCTCAGTAAGTGCCCTTTCCTGCCCCCTCCAGGCACGGCAAGTTGCTGGCTCTCCATCTCACTCCGACGGCGAGTCCGAGGATGACAGCAAGGACATATCCTGCAATCTTAAGGCAGTACAGCGCATTCACATCACTGGAGTCACTTGCTGTTTTCCGAAAGCCCGAGGACATTGATGTCGATGTGGAATATGTCAACCCAACGTTTCTTGTGGGCCGTTATAGCAAACCCCAACCGTCGCTGATGCCGAATGTCGATGCCACACTGCGTCTGATAGCTCAGTGGAGATATATCATTGCGACAGACCTCACAAAGCCGTTCTACCAAATTCCCCTTTCCAAGTTTTCTATGAAGTACTGCGGGGTGGTCACGCCATTTAAAAGAGTCCGTATGTATGCCAGATGTGCCATGGGCATGCCCGGCTCAGAAACCGCATTAGAGGAGTTAACCTGTCGCGTGCTCGGCGACCTCCTTCAACAGGGACAGGTGGCCAAGGTCGCTGATGACCTGTACTGTGGTGCCGATACCCTTGAGGATCTTTTTGCAGTGTGGAAAAAGGTCTTAGTGGCCCTCCAGGCATGCAATCTGTGCATATCTCCCAGTAAGACAATCGTTGCCCCAATCCAGACCAACATTTTGGGGTGGGTCTGGAATCAGGGTACTATTCGTGCCACTTCGCACCGCATTTCAACATTGGCCTCGTGCACCCCTCCTGCGACTGTTAGTGGTCTACGGTCCTTTATTGGTCCGTATAAAGTCCTAGCTCGTGTCCTTAAGGGGTGTCCGTCGATCCTTGCCCCCTTCGACTACATGGTCGCTGGTGGTGAGTCGACCGCTGTGGTTGTGTGGTCAGATGAGCTCCTCCAGCGTTTTCATAGGGCTCAGCAGGCGTTATCCACTAGTTGCACTGTGACAATACCACGACCTGATGACCAACTTTGGATTGTCACCGACGGTGCTCTTAGGGATCCAGGGCTAGGATGTATAACAATGTATGTTATGAGGGAGGAAAAGTTGTTGATCACCGGACACTTTAGCGCTAAGCTTCGCAAAAATCAGATCAATTGGCTTCCGTGTGAGATTGAGGCCCTAGCTATAGCCGCTGCCCTGAAGCATTTTGTTCCATATATTATTTAGTCATCACAGAAGGCGTGTGTGCTCACTGACAGTAAACCATGCGTACAGGCGTACAAGCCACTTTCAGGTCTCTGTTCGCCATGTTGCTGGGGCTGCTATTCTCCCTTCAGATTATGCTAGTCGCTATGCTGCACAATGTGACAGTCCGGCATGTCAGGTGTGTAGCTTCGTCCGTGAATCCATGGTCTCCGTCGTGTGCTGTACTGATGTTGCCGACATCTTGCGGGGAGCTAAAAAGGTGCCCTTTGCCAATAGGGCCACATGGGTGCCTATTCAGGCTGAGTGTCCAGACCTCCGCAGGGTACGCGCACATCTTCGGCAGGGTACACGCCCTTCCAAGAGAGTTACCAATGTCAAAGATGTGAAACGGTATTTGAATACTGTTACCTTAGCAAGGGATGGGCTGTTAGTTGTGCGGCATGACACACCACTGTCAAACACTACCGAATGCATCGTTGTTCCAAGGTCAGTACTGCATGGGTTGCTTATGTCATTGCACATTAGGTTAGACCACCCCTCGGCTCACCAGTTGAGACTTGCCTTTGGCCGGTACTTCTACGCGCTGGACTTGGATTCAGCCATCCAGCTTACCATTAAGGGATGTCACCAATGTGCTGCACTGGCTAAGTCCCCTGTGTTCGCAGGGGGTGCAGCATCTGAGAGCGAAGAGGAGTGCGACGTGCCACTTGTTGCACCTCCGAGCGACCCTGACATTCCCCTGGCGATAGCGACACCCGCTTCACCCCCTGGGTCTGATGACAGCGGATGTCCGGAGGGTAGGACCGTGTCCCCATCAGGTTCGGTGGAGGTCCCGTGCCACGAGTTAGCCTCCCTCTCAGCTGTTCCGGTGCAGGCTCCTCTGCAGTCAGGCCGTCTCCGTCGACTTCCCGACAAGTTAAAGGATTATGAGCTGCACTAGATAGGTTGCCTTCACCCGTATCCTTACTTTGCTTTGAGAAAGTTTTGTTGAAGCTTTGCATTGGTGTTCTGCAAGGCTCCATAAGGATCTGCGGTGCTGTTCTCACTAGACAGATGGTTCCGTTGACTCATCTTTTGTTGTCACATGTCACTCTTTTGTTTTCCCCTTTTTTTGTTTGTTTCAAATGCCCACAGGTGCCAGTGAAGAGGGGGTATGTTCTGGATGGAAAATGGGTGGCGCCAGTATGTGAAGTGTGACGTGGATCGTGACTTGACTCCTGACATTGTCAGTGATCCCCTTGGCCTGGGCGGAGCTGGCGCGTGTGCTTTTTGTTATTGTTGTGTTGGCCGTCACCATTAAAGGCTTGACTAAACTATTCTCTCGTGTCAGCGATTCAATGTACCTCACCTACACACTGGCGCTCGGCGTCGTGGAGAGCGTGTGGCTGCTCGAGCAGAGAGCAGCGGCCACGATGAAGCCTGGAGCTCGGCGGCGGTGTCTGGCGGAGGAGCGATCCTGGGGCTGGCAGATTGGCCGGAGGACTGAAAAAATCCCCAGTATAGGTCTCGTCGTTTGGATGGGAGAAGTTGAGTCTGAGATATAATGGCAAAAGGTGCAAATTGAATGCTGGTAAACCGTCAATGGATAGAGGTAAGTCAGCTGTCTTTATACCTATTGGTGTTGATTAACCTGAGTGCACTCCACTTGTGTTAATTAGGCTAGTATCTGACGCGCTCCTCCCGAACTTTGTTAATTTTATTTAAAAAGTGATGTGACATGTGGCCAAGTATGGTGACCCATACTCGGAATTAGTGCTCTGCATTTATCCCATCCAAAGTGCACACACACAGCAGTGAACACACACACACCCCGAGCAGTGGGCAGCCATTTTTTGCTGCGGCGCCCAGGGAGCAGTTGGGGGTTTGGTGCCTTGCTCAAGGGCACCTAAGTCGTGGTATTGAAGGTGGAAGAGAGCACTGTACATCCACTACTCCCACCTACAATCCCTGCCGGTACGAGACTCGAACCCGCAACCTTGGGTTATGAGTCCGACTCTCTAACCATTAGGCCACGACTTCCCCAATAATAATAAAACATAATTTAAAAATTCTTACTGACCCCAAACCTTTGAATAGAAATGTATATTTATTCGTATTTATTTTTCATTATTCATGTATAAAGATGCATTTATACTGTGTGTGCAAAATGTTAACAAAGATATTATAAAAGCATCATGTTGTTTCCAGAATTAAATAATTAGCTTTTATGTAGTCAATGTCATTGTTCTAATTATTTATATTATTATGATTCTTTTTTGTTTTCTTTTCTTTTGTGCAGAAGTTGATCCGCCTACTATGTTTAAAAGCCCTTGCTCTTTGTCTCATATGGCACTTTTGAAACTCACCAGTGAGCTAGTTTATTTTAGCATCAACAAACGTATTTTTCCTAGCACAATCTAAAAGTGGCAGGAGGAAAAGAAACAGAGTAGCACACAAGACTTCAGTTAACATGTGCTTCATGGAAAAAACAAGGCCCTGTTTTCTCTCTTGAGACACATTTGCGAGTGTCTGTTTATGTGGAGTGTCACTGCAAAGAGTCTGAAAGACTGTAATCATCTAATGGATTGTGGCTAAGATAACCAAAGGACAGTACAACTCGCTATGAGTTTTGTGAATATAAATATGAGAGTAATTTGCTGTCTGTGTTTGCCTATATGTGAATACTAATCCTTGGTTAGGACAGGGTTATCACTCTCATTTAAAGGGGTGGTTCACTGTTTTTTTTCTAGGCTTAGTTGTGTTTATGGGGTGCAGTCTAACATGTGTTAATGCTTCGTTTGTCCCGCACCTCATCTCAGCGGCATGTGCTCTGGTTGTATTGTAAACAACGGTGTTGTTAATATAGCTTATCAGTTTGAGCCCGATTGAGAAGCAGAGGATATTATTGAAGAGGATCGTGCAGAACCTGTGCAACATATAATTGGAACAGTTCATTGTTGGAGCTGAGCCGAATGAGAGAGAGAGAGAGAAAGAGAGATGCAGAGCATGAGCAGAGCAGGGGGACGCGAGGAACAGTATTGAGAACCACTGCTTTAGAACATTGATTTTGAAACTTGTGAATCCATTAGTATTGTTAGAAGACAGAATCGCAATTCATATATGAATAGATTTTTTCATGCACCCCTAGTTTTGATGGCATGGCAACAACTCTTCCTCTTCTCTAAAGCAGCGCAGCATGGCCTCGCCCCCTTTGCTGCCTTTTCCCGAGGGCGGGGTTTATCTGGGTTTGTTACGCCACGAACCCGGGAAGTAACTCGTTGTAGTCCCTACCAGCCGTTTTTGTAGGCATTAAACTGCCAGAATTTTAAAAGGCGATATCTCTGTTTGCATTGAACTTTCAGCTTCGTAACTTTGCTGATATTGTTTATGCTCAAACAGCAACATTAGACACTAACTAACGTTAAAAAAGTGAAATCGCAATGAACCACCCCTTTAAAGCTACACAGCTTCAAATCCCTGCTGACGTTACAAACAGACTCGCTTTGAGGGGGTGAGCCCTTCAGATCCAGCATTGTATGGATGGAGATTATGTTTCTATACACAATTAAATATAAAATACCATTAATTTTCTCCATTGGGAAATTAATTTTTAACCATTAAAGGCAGACCTACTATGGGCTACGAGGTTGTTTTATCAATGGTATATGCATTTGTTGAAGCCATCAGCCCTGCTTTATTTGTTCCAATAACAAGTGTTTAACAGTGGAATTCCTGGTAAAAAAACAAAACAAAACAGGAAAACCAAGATGGACATGTCCATCATTGTTAGCAATACATCTAAAAAAATACATTTAAAAAAGTGGTATTTTGCACAGATAATGCTGAAGTATCATGTCCACAGGTAGAGGTTGGATATAACTGTGTGTGCCAGTAGTACCTTGGTTTATTGAGACAAAGACAAACATAAGTGCTAATAAACAATATATTATACTGTTTCATTTATTGTTGATGTGCTGAGCAAGCATTTTGGATTCTGAAGTTGGGGTTGATGCGGTTCCTCTGAATCGGTACTTCCAGGGAAAAAAAAAAAACGGTGAAACAGTGGGCAGGGACTTATGCACTCTATTCCAGTTTCAGCCTATGGTTGTGTCCGTTTATTATTGTGTAATATAATTACGTAAATGTCTAATCATAAAATGTGTTATTGAAATAAAATCTGACAGCGGCATCATAAATTTAGATTCTTTACCTCAGATCATTCTGAAATAAATGTATTTTTCAGGCACTTCCAATGAAGTGTGTGTGTGTGTGTGTGTGTATACAAATATATATATATATATCAAAAGCTTATCAAAAACCTATCACAAAGGCAATTGGCACTTTTAACTGTAAAAGAGATGTTTACAATTTCATTTCTCCCATTCATTATTTTTTTATCAGGTTGTCTATTTCCTCCCTTTTAATGTCTCTGAAAAAAGGCAGCCTTTATTTTTGAAGTTGATTGAATTGGTGAATTGCTTGGGTGCAGGGTTTGGAGGGTAGTGTGCAAGAACTCATGGTCTGATCGTCAGCTTTCTGTTTCACTCAGACTGTGTAGATATGGTGAAACAGATAGCATTGTTGAACTGTAACATCCCAGCTTTATCAGTGTCAGTTTGTCTGCATGTATAGCATGTCAACATGTTAGTTCAGAAAGGCTGCCCTTGT